CTCCGTGGTGCCCAGCAACAGGACAAGAGGCAACGGGCAGAAACTGAACCACAGGAAGTTCCACCTAAAGCTGAGGAAAAACTTCTTCACTGTGAGGGTGCCTGAGCAGTGGAACAGGTTTCCCAGAGAGGTAGTGGAGTCTCCTTCCCTGGAGATATTCAAAACCCGTCTGGATGTGATCCTGGGCAATATGCTCTAGGTGACCCTGCTTGAGCAGGGAGGTTGGACTAGATGATCTCCAGAGGTCCCTTCCAACCTAAACGATTCTGTGATTCTGTGATACTCTCCCTATTGACTTGCTGAGTTCCCTGTCAGCTTGCAGCACAGACCATTTGCACAGAACATTTAAGTCTCATCTCCGAAATGCTTTTAAAGCATACTCTTGAAAAAAGCCTGGAGCCCTCATCTCTACTCCAGGACCCAATTCCTCCTGAATTTTCCCCACTCATGAAGCCTGTTCTGAATTTCTTTACCAGGTGTTCAGACATACTACACTTTCACAGTCCAACAACTGGGTGACATCTGAGGTGTCAGGATATCTTTACAGCAGAGAGCAAATACACCCTGAGCAGGGACTAAAAGTTATACAGAGCTGCTGCCCTCTCGTATTTGAGTAACTGCCTCACACTACCTGACCTGTAGCGCATCACCCTGCACCTGCGTTCCCATGCTGCCAAATCCAAAGGTTATGCCCAAGAAGTCCGGAGCACTGAGCTGTTCAGCATCCATTTTTCCACAGGAGCAACAACACTTGCAAGGAGACTAAGAAATACTCTGACAAAGGAAGGAATTTCCCATCCTCTCAGAACAGCAGCCTTCTAGAGAGTTTTGTTTCCTCTGCTGCTCAGGGCATGGTTTATCTGTTTATCTGTTGACAGTGTGATATTATCTCTCACCTAATGAAACCTCCAGACAGCAAGAACCTCTGTCTGTTCTGCCTTGTGGCACACAATCTTTTAGCCTTCCAGGGAAGAACACGCTTTGGTCTAAAGACAGGCTTGGTGAGCTAATAACAGACTCCTGGAAGCTGTTTAGAAGGGACATTTGGCAATCTCCAGTTCAACCTCCTTCTGGAAGCACCACTCTTATCAGATGACTCTGTCTTTGTTTAGCTGAGACTTGGACATCTCCAAGGACAGAGACACTCTGTGCACCTCTTCCCGAAAGGTGGCACCTTTTTGGTGCAGAATTTCTTCCTAATGTGCAACCTGAACTTCCCAAGCTACAGTTTCTTTTCAAGTGGTTGTAACGTGCTGTTAGACCAGCTTGTATCTTCAGTCTCTTCCGGCCTTAAAGCACTAAATCTGGGCCCGCCCCTACCCCAGACAGGGCCTGCACTTCTATGCCCTCCAGGTGTGTGAGATACTATACCGATAGCACCATAGCTGCTTCCCTCAGGAGTACTGGCTGTGATAGGATGCGAAGAAGTCATAATCCCAGATCCTGCAATGGAAGCAGACCCATAAGATCCAGTTAGTCTCATGTCAGGGCGTTTGAAACGCATCGGGGTGAATGCAAACAGCTCAAAGAGCAGGAGAGGCTTGGGAGAAGCAGCGTTTCCCCAAGCAGATGGCACCCTATCTCCCTCTAGAGCATACTGCAAAGCAAGTATTTCCTTCCTGCACAGCGTGAAGCAAAACCATTCCCCTCAGCATCCCAACACAGGCTGCCAATTTGACTTATAAAAGCACAAGCTTCTCTGCAGCATCCAGTGGAGATCACCCTACGGGGCTGCAGGACATGGCAAACTCTAGGATGAGTCTCATGATATTTGGAGCACTTGTATGAATTTAATTCTTCTCCTCCTGCACCCCCAAGGGAGGATCTAGTCACCTGTCACTACCTCCCTCAAGTTCTCCCTGGAAAAGTCATAGACAGGTTGTCAAACACCCAACTCCCCAAAAGGGAGGGAACAAGACCAGCAGGAGCAACATTGTGCAACAAACGGCAAGACAGGCCCAGTTGCTCGTAAAGGTTCACCCTTGTCACAATGTCAAGCAGTAGGGCACAGGGCAGGCTGAATATATACAACCTGATGGAGATCCAACTAACCAGTCAGTACTTAAAGCCACTTGGTCTTACTGCAGCCTGACAACTCCCTCGTCGTTCTGAGCTCCTTTTCTGGCTTCCCAGCACCAAAGCAATGGGCATAGGCAGAACTCGCTGGCAATTCTGGGCACTTTAACAGCTTGCCTAGATTTTTGTACCATTTTCATTAGCCACATGTGTAAAGAGCCAAAAAACTGTTTACTGCTTGATGCCAATTCCTAAACAGGGGAGCACCTACACAGCAATGACATTTGATACTTTAGACCTAGTTCACTTTCTCTTCTGATAGATTCACTGTGCCTGCTGGGCTGCAGGCTGGAACCTGGTGTCCTCTTTCAGCTTTCTTTGCTCTCCCACTCCAGCCATCTGACAGGAGAACAAACGGCTCTGAGGAGCGCTTGAAGTGGACAACACAGCATGGATCCAACACCCAAGGGAAGGCTCTGCCCCTCAAGAGACCCCTTCAGCCCTGAGCCAGGACTAGCAGTGCTGTTGTTGCAGCTTGCTGCAGGAACAAACCATTTGGTAGGTACCAGGCTGCATTTCAGCTCTGATCCACCTTTTGCTCATCATCTGCCATGCAATGCTCCCTCTCTCATGGAAGAGTTTTTCCTGCTGTTTTAAAATCATTTGGAAATCATGATCACTGGGAAGAGGGTGAGAAGCATTTCCCAATGTTCACAGCACCGAGGAACACACTCTCAAGCAACGTGTCTACTTTCTCTCCCAAGCAGTCAAGCAGTCACCACAAAGGGTAGATTTAAATCTGGACAAAGCAAACGTGCAAAGCAGACGAGACGTTCTGCGCTGGTTCTAACAGCCACCTCAGACTCCAACTCACCCACTAATTTTGGTCCCACTTCCCAGCGTGCGGGTGAGTCAGCAAAGTAAACGCTTGGCTACGCAGTGAACTAGGTGTGGTTGCTCCAGCTATTCTCTCCTTCAGATAATTATGATGTGGAATGGGAGGTGTCCCCCATGGGAAAGAAAAAAAAAAACCCAGAAGCAGGACACAGTATGGGTGACAGGAGCAACAGCACACAGGAGCTGCAGCATATTCAGAGATCATGGAGAGACAGATTACTAGGCACCTCTGCCCATACTTTCTTGGCAGGGCAAAGAAAAGGGGAGTAAAGGAGAAGATGAGAGCCAGGGTTACTTTAGAGGAAGAGAGATTCCAGTGGGTGGAAAGAAGGAAAAGAATTGAGAGAAAGCCAGTGTGCACTGGTTAGGTGATCTGGAAGATGTGAGTTATCACTTTTTACACATCAGATCCACCCTCAAGAGGCACATCAGAGAAAGAAACACATAGGTAGGACATGGCTCCTCCATGGAGGAAGGACAGGGCTGTGGCAGATAGCTAGGAAGTGCTGGGTGCAAGAAGGTGAAGTGGAGTACAAGGGAGAGGACAGGTCCCAAAAGGAGCAGGTGCCTATCTGGGAGGAAACCCATAGCAGCTGAAGGAACCACACCCTTCTGTCCTTTCACAGGACCCTCCCTCCCTGGAAATCCAGCCTCCCACCCTCCAGGTCTAGGCTCAGCACAGCATCTCTAACCTGCAGGTACTTCAAGTACCAGGATTTAACTTCTATCGAATGGTAGTCAGCTTGGAAAGCAGCTTCTCAGCTATCTTCAGCACTTGTACCCTCCAAATGTGGAGCCAGGAGTTCTCCCCTGGGCTTCTGATCTCAGGGGCAGTCCCACCACCCTTTGAGACCATGCCCCTTGGGTTTAGATAGCAATGCCTTGGCATCAGCTTGGGCTCTTCCAGGGCTTTGGCCCAGTTCCTTCAGCTTCCCCAGGCTCCCCAACATACAGGAACTTCCCATTTCTACTGCTGTCTCCAGTGTCCCAAGTCCTGCTGTTCTCTTACAGCAGGATCCATCCCCAACAACTCAATATTAGAAGAGTTTTAAACACATTTTACAATTTCCATCTTGCTGGGTTGTGAAGAAAACCTTTCAAACACACATGGGAATTGCACAGATATCCACATGTGCACTGTTGTGTCTCAGTCTGCCTTAAGAAGCCACTCTGAGAAGTCAAATGTCCCCAGTCACTTGATAGAAGTATTAACCCAGACAGTGGTAGGTTAGATTGAAATTCCAGTGCTGATGGTTTAAGCAGAGCTCAATTATGTTAGCATCCTTATCTAGTGATAAGAGGCCAGCAGAGGAGGTTGAAGAAGCTGAGACAAAAAATAAAATAGAAGTCTTTCAAGTTCTTCTTGCTGCCAAAATGTAACTTTCTCTCTACCCCCAAGAGAGAAGTACAAATGACAATGCTTCTTATCCTCAGACCAATGCTTTGAACTAGTTTTCAAGCACTAAATATTTAAACAAAATAGAAGAGCCAGCCTCCCACGCTTCCCCAGGAAGCGGAAACCCCAAGTGCCCCTCATCCACATGCCAAAAACTTCCATCTTTCACTAGTAACTTCTCAGATGTAATTATGTTTTTATAACACAGAAAGCTGCAGAATGTTGAAACGTGGGTGCAGCATAAAGTAAACGGAATCTGATACCAAAGTAAATAAGACAAACAGCACTACTTTATTGTATTAGTCATTCATTCACTTTGTTCTCTGAAACTCAGCATTAAAGACAAATTTAAGTTTAAATTAAATTTAAGGAACAAAGTGCAAAAAACCCAAACACACCCAAAAAAACCCACAGACAAAACCAAAGAGAGACCCCATGCTTAAAGTAGGTAGGGGAAATCTTAAAGCATAAGAGCTGACAGAAACTTCAAGTTCCTTGTTTAGAAAGAAACAGACCTGGCAGCAGGAACATCAGTCTGTAACCAGGTCTTGCCAAGGCCTGCCCTCCCGCCATCCCCCTAAAAGCCAGCTCTTTGGAGAAGGGGTCAGAACCAGGTTTGAGAGAGCCTGCTCCAAGCACCCTCTCCTATGAGGACAGAGAGGAAACTCTAGCATCTTTCACCAGTGCCAGAGACCATGTGGTACATGCACAAGGAAGGACAAAGGGTTAAAGGGACAGAAGGTACTTGACAGATGGCCTGTCCCTTGCTCAGCCTAGGAGCCATGCTGTTCACTTAAAGATGTCACACAATAAAACAAAAACAAACAAAAAAAACACACATAAGCACACACACCCAAACCTTACCATCATCAGGACTGTATCTGCCAGCTGAAGCTTTCCTTCGAACCCTGAAAAAGAACAGACAGCACGCATGAGATACTCAACAAACCCCACCACTTGCCAGCCATGGCAGGGTCATCTAAGGCACCAATAAGTCAACATGCTGCAAGTCCTAAAACAAAAACAGACAAATAGAAACCAACCAAATAAAAAAAGCTGTTGCAACTCAGCATGGCTCAGACACGATTGCTTGCTGTCTACCTTTCCAAATTCTGAAGGAGCAGAAGCAGAGTTTTTTCTTCAACTGTCCATCAGGGACAGGACAACCAATGACATGATCCATCCAACATTCCCAGCATGCTGGGAAAGATTCTCAAACTGCGCCTTCCCAAACCTGACTCCCCCACTCTGGGAACTGCACACAAGACTCCATGGAAGGGACAAGAGGGGCTACAGCTGTGTGTCAGTGTGATACCCAAGAAGTCTATACTGCCTCCTTCAATGCAGGTGCCAAGTTGGGAAGGGTAAGAAAAACTTGCATACCCACAAGAGAGGAAAAGCAACAAAATAAAACATCACCCCACATACACTTATGTCATCTTCATTGAAATATTTCAAAGAAATGTTGATTCACTGAAGTGTTCTGAAGTTAAACTGTACATCAATCTTGAAACTGTTTCGTTCCAGAAGACTTCAGAGTGCAGTGCTTTTAAGATCCCCTCCTCTCAAGCAGCTGAAAATTCTTTGCCCAGTTCAGTCTTAAAAGGTGGTTGATAAATGCGGGTACCCACAAAACCAATCCACTATTTGCTGAAAGTTCTCCATGGCTCTAGATGAGGATGTTCCCAGCTCATGTCAACTTTTGCCTTGTAGGCCAGGGAGGACCACAGAGGGAAATTCCTTCTTCCTGAACCTCTGCACTTTCAGACAAAGGCTCCACTTAACCTGAGTCACTGCCTACACAGTCAGCAGTGACTAACCCCCAAAACCTCCACCTTCCCCATCACCATATGGGCAGTGAGCCAGCGAGACTCATTGCTTGCTAGCAGTTACCTGCCCCACAGAGACAACTCTTACCTTCCCATTGGGCTGCTGTCCCTTCCTTGCCCCTCCAGTCCTACTGTCTCTCAAGAGGGCTTAGGCCACCTCCAGTGTCAAAGAAAGGACCCTGGGACAGGTGGTTGCTCTTTCTCTGAGAGCAACCTGTCACAGTAGCTGGGGCCAGGTTCACCTCAGGACTCTAGGACCCTATTCTGGATATTGCAGTACTTGGTTCAGCGCTCCAGGAGTGCCTTGGTTCCCCAATGCCCTGACATCCTATATTCCAGGCTGGCCCCACCACAATTCTCACCTGCCACCCCGTGTCCTCACATAGGAAAACCCAAGGACTGGGGACACTACAAAAAAATTAGAGGGAAAAGCCTTGGTTTCTCATCAGTGCCATGATCCCCATAGGGACAAAACAAACAAGAAGTCTTACTGGCTGATGTGATCCTGCACAGAGGTCTCCTGCAGAAGAGCCTACTGAACAGTCATGGACTTGTTTGGCCTGCTCAGTTCAGATGCCTGCTGCCACCCCCCTGTCATGCAGGGTGAGGCATTTCAAAGGATTAAGAGAGACAAATGTTGCATCGTTGTTGTAAAAAAACCCTTGACTCACCTGATATAGTGAACGAAAGCAACAATCACTGAGCCCAGGTAAAAGGAGAGGAAGCTCAGGAAGCTGAAGAACATGGCCTGCACATAAACAGACTCTGGGGAAAGAAGGCAGCAGTCAGCTCACAGGACAGGGACAACCCCTCAGAGACTCCACTCATGTCCTGCTCTTCACAGCACCATCCAGTGACAAACCCCTGCCCCAAACAGCCTGCCAGGCCCATCCACTTTCTTCACCAGGAGGTACCAGAACCTGTTGCAAAGTCTCTCCCCATCTCTTTGCCCACAGCACTGGCTAGTTTACAAGTGATACCACCCCATGCCACATAGCACCTCCTGGAAAGCACCAGGGCTGCAACAGTTTCAGCTCCTCTGCTGTTGTTGCTTTCTGCACCATCCTTCACAGGGCTGACTCCCCAACCATGCCCTCCTGCACAGAAGCACCAAGTTCCCCTCAAATGCTGCACTGCTCTGCAAAGAGACACTAACTTTTAATAGAAGGCACAATTGTCACTTGAAGGTTCTTTGTTCGTTGGAGGTTCCAGGTACGGTTGCTGCTTCCTGTCAGATGCAAAGGGTAGAGCAAACGTAAAAAACAAACACTCGTGATCTCTGGTCCTGTCCTCAGTTCTCTGCACCTGCATTTGCAAAAACACCAAGATCTAGCTTTTCCCTATAATCTCTCTGTGGCTTTGCTCTAAGCCTTTCCCAAACTTGCCAATGTACAGCTTTTTTCCATGCTGTTCTTGCTCTATAAACGTTTTTCAGGCTAGAAACACCCTGGTTGAGCCTTCCATGCATTGCTCAAGTTTGGGTGCCTGAATATAAAGCACATCCTTTTCACCTAGTGCCCAGAAGGGCAGTTTCTCCTGCTACAGATATTAGGACACCAGCTTTGTCCTCTTCCCTCAGTCAAAACTCAGCTTCCCATCCCACTTGTGTGGGTTGCCATGCTACCCGCTTGTTATGTTTCAGCGGTGCTTAACACTCTGCCAGTACAGCTCTGCAGACTGCAGCACGATAAAAAAAAATACAGCCAGAAGGTGATACAGTTTAGTGGTGGGTGGGAATCCAGTAAGTCAGGTGCAGTCTCGCTTTTCCTACAGGGAGGAAGCCACTGGCTTTGAGGGTAAGGATGTCTCTAATTTGAAGTGAGTCCTGGCTTGCCACTAGGACAGCTGCATCCACGCTCCAGTTTCAGCCATCACAGGAATAGTGGAGCCCTTGCTCTGGCCACTGCCCAGGAGGTAGACGCACATGCTTTCTGGCTTGGGAAGGCATTGGAATCAGTCTCTTGTAAAATTATGCTAACAAATTTCCCCCTCCCCAAAGTCTGGAGCTTTCTTAGATCCCAAGATAACAGTGGGAGAAGGCATTCTCTGCAGGAGTTGCTCTCTGGGCCTCCATCCAGACAGGAGAATATTACAACCAGGGGGGACAGGGGACAACGATGGGGGACAGTAACCAACACTGCTTAAACATCTCTGGTATCACCCAAGACAAGTGATTCCTCACAAGGCCACATAACACTGGCCAGCCAGGTTCTGTGCTAGACAGCTGCTTCCTGGAGAGATATGGATATAGACAGACTTGTTAACCTACCAGACAATATAAAATTGATATTGCAGCCTTCCTCACAACTACCTGGATGAAATAAGAGCTATATGGCTCTCTCACAGCATCCCACAGGAAGGCCACCAAGGATTCCCACTGCTCATCACCCAGATGCAGCAACCAAGTCTGTATCTAACGCAACTTACCACTGATGGAGGAAGGCACAGAACCCCCACAGGCGTAGTCCTCCGGTTTGATGACAAACACAACAAAGAACTGTTCACCTGGGAAGTCCTTCTTCTGCACAGGAGGATGGAAAAAAGCAGAACCCATGAGAAGCAAAGGAGCCTCTCCCTCTATACAAGGTAGAGGTGATGCTCCAAAGGGCCAGAGATAGGTTTTAACTGCTACCTAGGCACCAGCCCTACAGAAACTTGCCTGCTTTGGACAGAGCTTCACTTCTGGGGATGCTCCCCACATCCTTGCTGATGCTAAACTGACCGAGTTCACCTGCATTCAGTACAAGCAGCACCCCAGTACAAGCAAACCAACATTAACACAGTTTTCTTTAAATTTATTTATTTTAAAGTGCCTACACTTTGCCCATTAAACATCTGCCTAAATTTTGTCCATTAAAAGGCTCTACTACCACCACTCAGTGGTAGAAGAGCAAAGGTTAGAACACAAGACTCCTGGCAATGAAGGCTGCAGCCACTGTGAGCTACAGCCCCATTACCCAAGATATAACACATCTATCTAAGCAAAGGTAAGCAAGGTTTTGTAGTCAAAATAACATAAATGGAAGAATAGATATTGGCTGATCTAATAAAAGCAAAGGCCCTTTCTAGAGGCTCACAGCCAGGAACCAGAGTCAACAAAAGAGCGCTAGGGATGCACAGAACAAGCCACCACTGAGAAACACTTGGACAGACATCAGCATCTCACCTGCACCGTTATAGCCACCTGCTTTGTCATGGACTGATAAACACCGTTGAATTCCACGTTATGATCCAGATCATATACAGGGCACTAAAAAAGATGCAAATAAAGATCAAGCCAGGCACAAAATCCAAATCAATTTTGTAGGGAACCACCAAGGAGACCAGATAGTGCAAAGCAGTACAGAAAAGCCCCGCTTGGGGTGACCAAGGGAAGAAAAGAACCAGGACCCATGCAGAACCTAGAAACACTGCTCTGAAGACATAAGTCGTGGCCTGCACTCATTCATTTCATCTCCCTCACAAGAGGGCTGTAGTTTAATCTTAGATGAGCAGTCAGTCAGATCACTCACTCTGCCATTCCCACAGAGCAGTGTAGACACTCAGCCCTATCCTGCATACGTTGCGTGCTTTGCAGTCTATGCTATATGTCAAGTGCTTGCCCTCGTTTTACTCATTCCCTCTACAGACCTTAGCTCTGTACTGACAGGTTGAAAAGCACCTATCAAGCTCTCCTCCTGCCCTTAGACCACTTCAAACAGCAGGATTTGATGTTACCCGCTTCCGTCCACACCCTTTCTAAAGGCCACAGCAAGGATTTCACAGGTAGCAACCACAGCATCTTCCACCTCCGTCACCATCTTGCTGCTCCCATACTACAGGTCTCTGTATTATTCAGTGAGATGGGAAATGAGGAAGAACGGGGAACTGTTTCCCGGTTGTGAGCTACAGCCAACCTTTCTCAGAGGGCAGCCGCTCTCCCCTTCCCAAGAAAGGGCACCAGCAACTGTGAAGAGAGGAGAGGGAAGATTGAAATGGAAAGGAAGAAAAACCTCTGGCTTGGAAATCAGAACTTCCCCATTTTGCCCTGAGACAGGGAGAGAATTAACGGAACAGCCCCATTCTCTCCCTCAGTTGCTAGCTTCACATCTGCCCCCTCCCCCCCCCAAGGAGAGAGAGACCAACATCACAAAGCAGCTGGATGTCAAAGATGAACAAGGGAACATGATCATAAATCCCCTACAGACGGGCTGGGCAGGAACAGTTTGCTCACTCATTTGCAAAAAAAAAAAAAAAAACACACCATCTCTGGATGAGCTGCTTGAACTCAACATCCATCTTTGCCTCCTTCTCATAGGACGTTCATTCCTTCATGTCCTCCCTTCCCTGCTACCATGGACCATAGTAGGGTGAAGCCCTTCCTAGGTTCTCTCTGCTGGGGCACAGAGCTCTTGTAGGAAGACAGAAGCCCAGCAGGCAGCCAGGTCCTTGCCCTTCATCCCTTAGACTTACCACAATATCCTGGACAGAGACAACTGAGCAGGGGTAGACTGCATCAGACACCACTTTGATGATGACCGAATCCACATCTTGAGGGAACTTGTACAGAAAATACTAAGGAGAGAGCAGAGTCCCAAGAATTACGGTCAAGAATCCCCCCTGCCATTGGCTTCAGAGCCTCCCCAAGATACCAGCACAGCCCCATATCTAACCTAGGCTTTGGGATTGGACTTGGATGGCTCTCAAAGACTCAGATTTCAAATATTACAGCCTTACACTACAAAAGAGCAGATCAAAAAGGCAGAGACAAGTCTCGCCCCTACACAGAGGCCTCTAACATGCAAGTTGCAGCACAACTCCTGCTCTTAAGCTTTTTTCCATCTGATCAGGTTAAAGTGAACTCATTTTATAGTCTATTCCGTTTTAAGCTGCAATGAGGAATTTCCAAATGTTTCCACACTGCTGGCTGTACTTCTATATATGGAACATATAGGCTATCATGGAGTGTATTGCAGACGGGTTTGCTCAAAGAGCAACTGTGAAAAACATTAGGTCAAATGGTCAAACTCTGTACAGATACTACTGTAGGATTCAGGGAAGAGGGTTTGTCTTCTTCCTTCAGCTTTGAAAATAGTTCACCTGTTTCTCTGAAAGAGGTTAGGAGAGAATGATGTCTGCTGATATTCCTACCTTCCTTCTTGGGAGGGGGGCGGGCAGGCCCACAGGATAGTCTGTGAGATTGGGAAACACTCTTCCCTGCCCCAGCAAGGGCCTTTTCCAATTCAGGCAGAGGATGGCAGAGGGACCACCACTATCTGCATATTTTCCTGGTAAGAGTTTAATGCACTGGCTTTGAAATGGAAGCCAGCTGCTGAAGTGGGCAGGTTGCCTGTGCCTGCCTCTCCAGGCAGCTTGCTGCAACAGCTGCCTAGCCCACTGCACCCTCCTTTATGGTCACCTCAAACTGCTTGAAGCTGCTGCTCCCCTCAAAGCAGGGACACCCCATGGGGAACAAGGGGAGTGCTCTGAGCTACCTCAGCTCCTACTCCCTAAGAGACATTCCCAGCTGGCAGCCTCCCTTTATGCCACCTATGCCTCAGTGATGAGGAAGGGCCAGGCATTTCTGATCTCCCTGCCCTCATCCCCTTCCCATGAATTAGGCCCCCACATTAGAAGGATGGGGATAAGTCAGAAATCACTCAGGCTCTTCCCAAGTTTAGCAGCTTCTACTAAAAAGCATCTATTTCCATCATCCCCTTCCAGGCAGGGTCTCTTTGTGTTAAGGGAGCACTGGCTCTGACTGTAAATCCTCAAACTGAAAATTCACCAAGCTGTTTTTTTCAGTGGAGCACTTTTTATCCCAGCCATACACAGGCTCTAGCAGTCTGAGCTCTCTGGTACACTATCTTTGAAAAAGCTTCAGTCTTTAAGGAAGTCACCCACAAGGGCCATCGTACAGTTTTTACCAAGCTTATACCAGAGTACAGAATTAATATAAGAGACATGGAGACCTACAGTTCCCTCTCGCACAGTGAGTGAGTGATATAAACGCATCAAGACAACACTCCTGACCTTTGTGAGAATATTTAACTACTTCTTCCACTCTCAGGCATGAGCTGGGTTCTGAGGGACAATTCCTTCAGTTGCTACATTTGTCTTTTTCTGGGCTTAGAGTTATTCCAACACCGATCTAGATTTTGAAGAGGTTTTTCTTTTTTCCTCGACTGCTTAATATTTTATTTGATTTACAAAAAACCCCAGCATTATATCAATTAAGATATACAGAGTGCAAAATTAGGGTATTTGCCCAATAATTAAAAGTCACCAGTCTTGTTTTACTAACTATGACAAAGACTGAAGTCAAAGTTAATTCCAGGCTAAATCCTCAGCATTCTACACTGAAATTAAAAGTTCTTAACTAATGAGGAATTACAAAGAACCCTTTGCAAACAGCCACCACCACTCCATATGCTCTTATCGTATAAAATAGTGTATTCATCAGCAAATCAGCATAAGACGTTTGACAGCAAAAGGTTAACTGGAATGCCTGGTAATATAGGAAGCCTAGAATTAAGTGGTGTTACTAATCGTGATTATAACAACAAAAATAGAGTACCAGGCAGCCTGATTAAATTACGTTCTTTCCCAGCTCTATGCTCTCCTGTACCACTTTAGCTAGTGCCAATGGCATTTTCATTCAAGAGAGGACTTGTAGTATCTGTAGGGCTCTAAACAAGGCTGCTTGGTGGGATGTGCTGTATATGCGTGCTCTCTACTAAACTAAAACTAGGTTTTTATCAGGCACTTCATTTATCAGCTGGCATCTTGACTTGCTGCCACGAGCAAGAAATAACAGTTTGAGTTCTGCTGTAACTTTAGAGCTCCTTTTTGCAGTAAAGGAATGCATATTGGCAAGTCAGCTAGAGCAAATGAGCCAGTGCTACCTGGCATAAAACATCTGATGCACACCATTTAATTTCCCATGAAGTGCAGTAGTCCAATGGCTACCAGATTTCTGTACATTTCTGGAGTTTCCTGCACTGCAGATAACATTCATTTGCTCTGGTTACATTTTTTCGTTCTTAACTAAGCACTTAACTGCTTTGCAAGAGGCCCCAAACACACCCCTAGTGGGGCAGAAGCACTGCTACCTCTTCACCGCATCCAGAGAAATGCAAGAGTAAGGAAACTTCCCTGCATCCTAAGAGGGAAATGAGCCAGTCATAAGGCTTCTGCCTAACAAAGGGTCACAGGAACCATTTGGATACAAGAAGACATACAAGCAATGGCATGCAGGACTCCTCCTTACCTGGGGCTGGGAAGGGCTGGCAGTGAAGTTAAAGGCTTTGTTTGTCCTAGAAAAGAAGTTTCAGCATGATGAAGTCTCCCAAAAACTTTCAGTTTTGGGATACACAGGGTACCTTCAGATTAAGCAATAGAAAAATTAAATAATCTCAGGACATTTTCTGAGAGGGAAAGAATAACTAGATGGGCCTAATCCCTGTATAACAGATACACAAAGCAGTTAGATTTGCATTCACCCATCCCAGCTTACTCAAGTTGGAAGTTGTCAAGCCTGGTGACTAGTAGCTCATACGCAATATCAAATGGTGCCATGGAAGCGACATCCACAAATATGACCTGGTCAGAGAGTCCTGCCTCAGGTGTTGGCTCAGAAGGGCAGAGGGTCCGACTCACTTCTTGGTAATTGTATGTCCTCTGATAGCTACAACAGGTGGGGGGAGGAAGGAAGGGAAAGATGGACAGAAAAGAGTCAGCAGTTAAAAGAGGTTGTTCTGTAGGTCTAGGAAAGATCTGATTTTTTTCCCCTGCTTGCATGTGAGAAGCTACAATCGTTCCACCTTTTATTCTGAGCTCACGCTCCACTCTCCTGTTGCTTCTTGTGGTTTGCAAATGGGACTGGCCATCCACAACATTTTGCTTCCTTCCAGCCTGCCTGTGCCATCTGCAAATCTAGCACATCTGTGATTTGCTGATGTCAGAGAGGGCAACAACAGCCTAGAAGAACAGCTGCTGTACCCATCACCTGCATCACGCAAGACGCTGCAAGGTTATCTGCTACCCAGCTCTAGAATTGTAATCACAGGGCAAAGCTTCAAACTACGTTTTTCATGTCCTAAGGTGCCTGCAAAGTCTCAGTACTTGCAACCCCCCTAGCTCTGGGGTTGATGGAGCTACACAGCAGCATCATTTTCACAAGATCGAAAAAAAGATTACAAGATCTCTTCTGAGAGCTAGTTCAAACCCTGCTCCAAAATCAATGCTGGGAATTACTTAAACATGCCATATGCAACTGTGGAAATGCCAGTAATATCATTTGGTATAACCACTGCCTAATAACACAGTTAGATCCGCAGTGGACAAGCCTCCTTGTAATCTGTGTACATACTTGAGAAACACCAAGACATGAGAGCAGGCTGACAAATAAGATGTTACCTACCAAAACCAGGTCCTCCTATGTTCAGCTGAGAATGACCAAGTGTTTTTTGCAACCAAGCCCTATAGTCTACACAAGTGGCAAGATCTAGCACCAGAGGAGAGCTGATGTTGGACACAGCTGGAAGACCAGTGTGTTACAAGGAAGAGACTCCAGTACTTACAGGCCTCGAAAAATTAGTGGGACTTGCCATGACAGCACCCCCTTCTGTTGGCGAACTACAAACAAGACAGGATACTGGAGGTTCTCGGAGCTGCTGTTCACATACACTCGCACTGCATCTACCTGTGAAAACAGAGTACGGATAGGTGTTAGCAGAAGGTGAAAAAGGAGATAGCGCCAAACCTAGCTGGGAGGAGCCCATTCCTTTCACTAGTCTGATGTAGATGCTGGAAATATCCACAGGATAAGCAGAGTTTGTCACCAAACTGGTTATCTACATCCAGAGGGCATCTGTAGAAGCTCCTAGCTGCTGCTGCTCTAATTCAGAGTCACGGCCCTGTCCTCATCCCAGAGCTGACTGTCAGACAAGCCACAGTGGACAAGCGCAGCAGACGTAAGACAAAGTTTATTAGTTTACTTACCCAATGGGGAGTAACCCAAATTACTTGTAGTGTTTTGTTATAAAATAAAAACAAACAAAAAACCCCAGACAAACCCAAGGCTGCAGCTAAGAAGTTTCTTGCTTGTGCTCTTCTGTCCCCAACTCAAAAGTACCAGGAAAATCACAAAGATGATTGAAGAAGGCATTAACACCTGGTTCTGCTGTAACTGACACAGAGATGACCATCATCTTTATTTACCCCATCTACTAAAACAGCAGCATACCACTGCCTGCCCTCAACAGGGCAAGGAAGGCTACTTTAGTTTATGAAAGAAGATTTTAAAGTAGCCAACTACATCAGTAACTGAAATCTCTTTATGTTGTCCAGCCATCACACAGTTGCAGAGATAGGAGACGTGTGAAGTAGAAAGCCCTCAATTTAGTATTTGCTTTGAGAAATAAGCAAGCAGTGGTCTGTCTAGCCATAGCATCATTTCCATTTGTAAAGAACTTCACTTCAGCTCCCTCCCAGCTGTATGCATTGCTCATGAAAACAGGGTATGAGTACACAACTCATCAAAAGAGACAGTAAAACTTGATTAGAAGCCTTTAATTAATGAAAGTGTATCAGGTAGACAGGGCATACACATTTAAATCCACTGCATCTTGGAAAGTTAGAATGGATTCTCACTACACTAGTAAAAAGACGTATCACAGATAACTTTCTACCCTCCGAGAAGTGGATGCATAAGAGGGGGGTGCCATCTTCTAATAAAACATACAGAATGGCAAAGTACCAGAAGAGCAGCTATCTGAAATGGTAACTTGTGCTTGCATATAGAATATCAGAAATTAGGTTTAGCAGCAGCATGGTTTGCATCTGCAATTGCAGGTCTAAACGATGAAAATTTCCTATTTATGTCTAGCGATTCCAGGCTCACATGGGAGTTCTGTTTACCAGAACAAAACACTTTCTTCCTGAAAGCCCTAATCATTATCCATTTTTTCATCATCATCATAATGCAGAGTCTACAACCATCAATTCCTAAAAGATAGTCTTCAACAAAACACTCATAAATCATTTAATTAAAAAACCCTTGATATATGAAAGCAAACAGTAGAATCTTCTTCCATTGCCTTCCAGTTTCTGAACCTTTGCAATACGCTTTTGGCATGCCTTCCAGCTTTTCTTTCTGACCACAAAAACTACATATACAATTTATTTCCAAATAAAGTAGGATCCCCTACCCCCTACAAGTACGGTCCCACAGTGGGATACCAGAATGGAGATAAGAAAAAACACAACATAACGCAAGACGCTGATAACATCTGAAGAGCATCAGCACAACAGGCCATCACCAGCAGACAGCACTGGCAGGTTACTGTGCCGCTTCCTTGCTTTCTCTGTAGCTGCCCTGCTCTGAGGAGCCAGAGCCAATATACGCCAGTATAACTGGGAAACATAGGTGCAGCAGTTTGTTCAGCTTGCTCCCTACACTCATAGGCATTTGCTTTAAGTGAATTTTACACAGCCGTAGTCACAGCAACAAGGAAGCAGGACCCAAACAAACGGATATTGAAACTAAAATCTGAGGAGCACAAAAACACAACATTTACGGACAATGGGCAAGTCCCGTGAGGGCTACAACAGCCAGCATGTGCAGCCACTCTTCATCCACAGGAAAAGCAACTAACATTGCAAAAAGGACACATGTTGCAGCTGTGTAATCTGCAGCTTTTGCCCATGAAACAGTTAATGCAAGCCCATCTCCATGGATGGGACAAATCACACTGACTCTGGTTGGACATGACCCTGAAAACCCTCCAGGACTCAGCACAGCACAGCAGGGAGCTCACATCAGACATCCTGCAAATGGTACTACTGGGTTATGTATCCTCAATTATTCATAGATGCAAGCTAGTCTTTAGGAAATACTCTTCTACACTGACCTTCTTTAGGAACACAGAAACTACATAGGTTAAGCATACATTTCAAGTATGCATTTTAACTAAATGCATAAAATTCATTTGTACTCACTGGAAGACTTAAAGTTGCATCCCTATCTCAATTTAAGAAATAGAAAGGCTGTTTGACATATATGCTAATGTTGAGCAGTATTTTAAAAAGTACTACTTTTACAGTTTGTCTAGCCTTTGGACACCGGAGAAGTGAACCCTACATAAAGGTGAGAATGCCTGTTTTTCCCACCTCAGATCTTCTCTTTCAGCAGCAAACTAAGTCTTAGTGTTTTCTATACTGCTTCTAAAAGTAAATATATGTATACAGAAATTCATGTGCAATTTAAAAAAGTCAACCCCCCCAAAAAAACACAATAGCTTTTGATGCATATTAAGATACATTAGGGAAAATTCTACAATTTAATTGTAAATCCCAGCTCTTCCCACTATTACATAATGCTGCATGTGCAGGAACTCATTCATGTCCAGGGGCACAGCTTATTTTTCAGCTACATTAATTTTTTTTTTTTACACCATTTGGTATACACAGGGAAGAATACACGCTGTCTGCGTTCTACAGTATATTATTTGGGAACTCATGGCTATGTAATTAAATACTGTTTCATAAGCAGAGAAGCACAACAGGGCCAATACAAGACTGGAGACCTACTTTTAATGCTGATATTTCACAGCCCGAGCCCTTCACTAAACATTGTATGTGATCTTAAATGTTTGTTTGGGCAATGTGTAGAATTCCTCAATTTTAATGAGGAGAGAGGAATGTCATGCCAGGACCACATCCCCAAACACTTCTATATATTATGCAAGGAAATGTTTTCCTAATACTGACCAAACAAAGAAGAGCTCTTGCAAGGGGCTTACAGCACTATTCACGTGGCTCTTCCCTGCACAGCTCACCCCACAACCCAGACTGGGGAAAAGCATCAGTGCCACAGCTGAGAGGTTTATCCAGACTCCCCCACACTCGCTGCACATCCCAGCAGAAATATGCAATCAGTGCTATGCCTCCATTTCAGCCTCAACTCCCGCATCAGGTCCTGTCAACGCAGCTCACAACCTGGGAGCGGTCAGTACCTGCACAGCATTGCTCACAGCCAGACAAGAAGGGCCTTAAATCCAAAAAGAGCAGGCAAGTCGTGGATCTTGTTTCCCTTGGAAAGCTCTAATAAATATCCAGTTTGAATGGCAACTCCTGCCCTTACAGGAGATGGTAGCTGTCTGTGTCTAGCAGGAGATAAGCTTCTCACTCTCAACTTCTGTGACCCCTCCTTATCTTACATGGTGCACCAGCTGGGCTGACGGTTTCCCTTCAGGCAACTCTGGCTGAACCAGCCCTCGCTGGAATAGGGCTACAGAGGAGCAACAGCCTTAGCGCAGGACTGCAGATAATGCCCCCACCCGGAGGTCAAGGCGTGCAGACAATAATGCTATGGAAGGTATTGTGCCCTCTGAGAAGCAGAAAGTACCAAGGCCAGAGCCACCACGTCCTTTTGCCAACAAGTTACTTGAACTAAAGGGTTTTCCTCCCCTTCCTCTCCCCTTTTAAATAAATTTGAACCAGGTAACTGGCCTACTATACTGAAGAGGAGGGGGGAAGAAATACACAAAATGAGTAATATTTAAAAAGTAATGTAAACTTTATGGCCGCCTTCTAAGACGGTACTAGCAGGTGCTTCAGGAAGCTGAAGGTATACTCCTTCCTACCTGCAGGAATACTCCTGCAGGTATTAGGTGGGACAAATAACTGGAGCCACCACAGTGGTCCCAGGACATTGCAGCCCAGGAGAACCTGCACCCTCAAAGCTCCCATGTGCACCTATATTCTACGCAGCCTGGCTGGCAGGCCCCAGGGAGTTGAAGATGAAGAGAGACAAAGCAGGATTGAGACACATCCTGGTTACAGATAAGGAGCTAGCCTCACCCTGGAACTGAGGCAACAAGTGATACTCAATTCCAGCACTGCTTGAATTCCTACCTACCCAATTTCATGAGCTTTCAAGGTCTTGGTTATCATCTGGATTAGCCTAAACGAACGTGGTGTGTCAATAACTGACAATGATGGCAGGTGAGATCCTCAAGACAGCCAGGCGTTCATCTCCATGTGTGGCATCCCCAATTTATAGCCCTGTTACACATCCTAGATCCCTTTGATACCCTCTGTTCATTCACTTCTTGGCACCTCTGTTCTTTCCCCTCTCCCACACAGATGAGCCCCTCCAAAGGGCAGGCAGCTGCACACACAGGAATGACCATTCGGGATCCTCCCTGCCCTCCAAACACTTTCTAAGGAGCATATGAAGGCTGAAGTCCTCTCACATCTTCACTAACAAAGCAATAAGCCATTAGAGGATCAAAGTTTCATTTTGATTTCCTCAGGTTTGGCTGCTTCTACCATTGCCACCTCATACCCTCTCCAGTGTACTCTTTCTGAAGAGAGCCCAATTCATGCTGGTGAAACTTTACCAGGCTTGGTCCCACTTTATGCACTGGAGTGTAAGAGGTCTCACACAGGGCCAGCGCGATGGAAGAAAGGCACTTGGGCAGAAAGGGGACAAGCTGCAGTCACAGTAGGGAAACTGCAACCATAAGTGAGGAATCACCACCGAACAGCCTTCTGCTCAGGAAACACCAGAATTTAGTCTGACTGTTTCCTTTGGAAAGGAGCTGTGCTGTGTATTTCTTCATCTCCCTTTAAGGGAAGCCCAGCAACAGGGTGCGCTTTGCAGCTGCCCAAGATGACTGTGCAAAGCATAACCCTCCT